TCACACCAGCTGCCATATACAGTAAAGGGCAGAGTGAAAAATCATATCAGATTTCTGCTTTCTCTTTCCCAGACGAACTGGAGCTGCGGGCTGTGGGGTCAGATGCAGCAGGACAGTGCCCAGAATGTCTGTTAGGGGCCATTTAATCAAGGAGCAGTTTTGTTTTTTTATTTTATTTTTTTAGCAGACACCTGTGGACCACAGACACAGGTAGTGAAAAGAAGCGAAGCGGAAAATAGCCCTTCAGGGCTGCTGGTTACTATTAAGCTTGGAATAAAGGGAAGCCAGAGCAGCTTATATGCATTTTCTATTTACTTGGCCAGCAATTTTTACCCATTACAGTTTTTACTTATGTATTTATTCATAAGTGCAATTCAAGGTAAGTATTTTACTCAAGAGTTTAACAGGTGTCTGCCTGCCACTTCAGCTATCACCCCTCAGAACACAAGGATTCCAATACACTATTTGCAGTCAGATTTAATGGTTTTGTTCTGGGAGTTTCAGTATAGTCTAAATGAACGAAGGCTTGAGCAGATGGCCCTGCTGAGATGTGATTGGCTGGTTGGCCCCTGCCGTGTTGTGTCATCACTGGTCGCCGGCACGTGCGCTGGCTGTGAGAGACAATGTCAGCAGTGCCCTGTCCGTGGTGATGACCGGAGAACCAGAGCGCACAAGAGACGCCCCTGTCCGTGGTCCTGAGCTCAGCCTATATGGTGCCTGTCTCCCGTACTGCTAGAGTCTATCACGATGCACAGTTTAGGGTGAAGCGGAGAAAATTAATCTCTTTCTCTTCCCCAAGCAATGCAGAAAGCCATATTTCTATTTCACCTTGTACAACCATGTGCTGGCTGTGATGTAAAGAGTATTATTTACCTCTGGACGGAATCCAGTTCCTGGGAGGGGGGGGAGGGGGGGGTGCTTGGGCAGCGTAGATTGACTGGACCTGAATGCTAACGCTCTTGTTTTGTTTGAATAATGGGCAAAACGTTGGCATAAAAGTCACTTGATTCACTGCACGACATAAAAGGGGATTTAATCTCCCCTGGAGAGGGGGTCCTTGTGCAGAATCAACACCATAAGGCACATGAATTGAAGGTTGCTCCACTGAGACCTCAAGTCTCCATGTAAAATAAAGTACCGGGGAGGTCAAAGGAAGGAAGGACGCGGGGAGAAGTTTGTCCTCGTGGCGTTTAAGCCACACATGAGGGTGTGTGTGTGTGAGAGAGAGACCTTGCTTATTGTTAACGAGTAACGTCAGGTCGTGGACAAATAATTTCCTATGATGCAAAGTGACCATCCAAATCTGAGCCCTGCTATCACTGCCCGTTACTGAAAGCTACACAGCTGGAGCTGCGGTGGCTCGCAGTCAGCACCCGGGCGCGTCGAGGGGCCGCAATATCAACCAGCCTAAACCAGCACTACTGAACAGGAAGGGGGCTTCACCATGACGTCACACATTTGGAATCATGGGATCAAATTGGCCTCAGCACTGTGTGTGTGTGGGGGGGGGGTGTCTATGTATGATCTGTGTGTGCATAGATCACATTTGGAGGCCAAAATGTCCCCAAAGTGTGATAAAACCTGAACTTTTGGGAACATTTTTCAGGTTTCCATTTGAATAACCTCAATTTTATAAAAAATCTGTGACTGCTATCAAAAAAGTAAAAATGCCAGAAGTGTTGAATTTTGTTTGGCTACTTATGCTTAAGGTTAGGGCTGGGTAGGGGTTAAGGCAGTCATGTTGGGATTAGGGTTTTTCCCATAGAGATGAATGGAGGGTTCCCACAAAGACATGAATACAAACCTGTGTGTGTGTGTGTCTGTACTGTATGTGTGTTTGGACTTTACACATCACCCCTATTCCTGTTCCCACAGCCCAAACACGCCCAGCTTAGAGTTGCCTCTGCACACGAGTGACTGACTCTGACTTTCAGCAAGGTACGTGCTTGATGCATGGTCACTCAAAATACACTAAAATAAAGTAATATTTTGTGAAATGGGGTGAAAGTGTTATTAAAATTGGATTATATTCCCAGTCTGAAGCATTTCAATGAAACTAAATGACTGTTCCATTGTCGGGTTAAGTGCTTTGCTTAAGGGCACAGTAGTGGTTTCTTAGCTCAGCACCCATTTCCTTAACCATTGTGCCACCTACTGGTCTAAAATAATTAACAAAGTGTTTCTTTTTCCCTTCACTCAAGTTGACATGATTGAAATGGAAAGTTATACAGCTGTCATTTTTTACGCGGTATCCTTAAAAGGTTTGCACGTGAGCAGAAGTATTACCCAGTCTTAAGCGCTACCTTGCCATCGTCAGCGTAGTCTGTCATAGTTCCAGAAAACTAGAAAGTCTCCCTGCTGCCCGCTGGCCACATTGGGGCTGCTGCCTGTCTGATATGTTGATTATCTGTCCTGCCATCTTCCAATTCCCAGAGCCATGTTTGTCTGTATTTTTAAATAGCTTTCTAGGTTTTTTTTTTCCCATGCAATTTTTCAAGTCACACTTAAAATATCTGTCATACTAATTACTATAAACCTTCAAATATTTGAAAAGCCGAATACATTCAAGAGTTTTTGACGCAGCACAAATTGGCCCTGTGGGTTAGCCAGCAGGGGGAGACATTACCACCAGGGTCAGCCCAACTGCTTTCGAGGTCCTAGGCAAAATTCAATTATCCTGGTTGTCGTTTGTCATCTTCCTTCCTATTATGACTGGCTGATCAGATGGGGGGGGCACCCTGGTGGCCGCTGGGCCTTAAGCAGCTGCTTGTCCTGCTTATGTCTTAAGCTGCCATTGAGCACCAGGACCTTCGCGACCAGAGTCCTTAGGCTGTGGGAGTTTGTATCGTACCGATTATGTCAGCTAGGAGCGGAAGCTATACTGAACAGCAGAGAGCACGCAGGCGGACGTGGGGGGGGGGTTGCGCAGGCCTTTCGATGAATGTGAAGCCATCATGAAATCTTCCCCTCCGGACTTTTCTGTAGATTGGCAGATTGGGACCGTCGCTATGGGAGACCATTCATAATTTTATCTCTTATTTTGGTGAAGGAATTGCAGTGGCGACTGGACCATCCCATAATCCTGACCGGCCGTGGACGAATCCAACATCTGCCTGCAATTACTTGAGAGATGGATGTTTCCGTGCGCTCAGCTTGAATGATACTGGCCGGTGTTTTTTTTCTTCTGTTTGTATGTGCTGAGGAAACCACGTCCACAGACACACACAATCGCACTAATACGTTGTCTTCTCATGTCGCAGCGGTTAGCTGCCCCTCGGACCCCGCGGCACGCAGACGAACTCCTTTTCGCCCAGCTTCATCCGTTTAGAGCTTAAAATAAAGCGCAGAAGGCTGTCTGTGTTTCCGGATCAGCACAGCGAGGCTTTATAATGCTAATCTTTAGCAGTGTTAGAATGTGCAGTTTCGTTTGTAAGACCACACTGACCATCTGGCGATCAGAATTGGGCGAGAACACGGCCCCACAGAGCCAGCCCTGCTTCTCGGGAGTGCTGGAATCGGATCAGTCGGAGGAGATTTTTGCCAACAGGGGCTGCAGCTCAACGAGGCTGGGGAGGTCCCACTGGGATAGAGAGACTGGGGAGAGAGGCGAAGGAGTGTGTGCGGGGAGAGATGAGGAGGCCTAGCACACGTACGAGGCTCTCCTGCGACGGAGGGAGCTTTTCAGGTGGAGTAGTACAGCTTTTATATTCCAGGCAGGCGGGAGGGAGAATTTTTCAGCCACAGTATTAACACCACTGGCACAAAGCAAAGAGGACCCACTGGGAATGAGGAGGGCCTGTGCAGTGCAGGCGATGCCCAGCTACAGTGCGATTACACAGGTACTGCTTATGTCAGTGCAATCCCCCCCTCCACTGGAAAATGAGCAACACCATTTTAGTAAAAAAAACACGCTCACCATGGAGGAACAAACAAAAAAAATCATCTTAGCGCCAAACAAAACAATGACAAACCGCTAACAACTGTGCCAAGTGTGGAATATTCCAGCATGGAGGTTAAAGGGTCATATTTCATGACACCTAATCTGAAGCATTCTTCAGTTAGGTTTTTCTAAAACGTTCTTGAAGGTTGTAGGTGACGTGCCTTGGTAAAGAAATGACTAATGAATAAAGTAGGCAAAAATACTTAAAAAAAAAAATCTATCAGCAAACTTTATTTTAGACAGTGAACATTGATCATTGGTTGGCGTTAAGGGGCAATAAACGACATACCAAAACATGAAAGTCTGTAAAAAAAAAAAAAAAAAAACACACAATATTGCTCCTCCCCAAAAGCAACTACACCGTTAGGAACCACCTTGTTCGGAACTTAAACTTAAACCCTAACCCTAACTGTCACTAATTCACTCGGCCCATTACTGGGCTGCGAATCCAGGCCTCCTGCTGGGAAAAGGCAGCAAAACAGCCGTGGCTATTGGGAGGGGGAGGGGGAGTAGGGTATCGCTGATAAACACCTTTAATTCTGGCACGGCTTATTAACCCCCCCCCCCCCCACCGGGCTGTGCTGGTGCTGCGTTCTTCCTCGTGTTGCGCCGTCTGTCTTCGCCTCTCCCCTGCGGACACGCGGCCAGCTTCCCCCCCGCTTCCCCCCCCAGCTTCCCCCCCGCTTCCCCCTTTCTCTGGCGGCTCCCGGGTCACAGACACGTAGCTCCTTGACTGCAGAAGAGATCGATTTGCTAACCGACTGGGCAGACAGGTGCAGCGCTGGGATCAAGGCCAGGCAGCAATTTAACTTAAGTACTGCAAAGTGTCTTCCACCCGGAGGTGTCTATTGGACCTCACCGGCCAATCAAGCTAAGAATCTCCGGAAGGACGTCGGCACGGGGACTGCCTCCGTGTGTCGTGTGTGACAACATTACTAGCATTGCAAGTTATCTTCCAGACCGGAGTTTAGTGGTCCGGAGCAGACGGTGTTAATGAACTCTATTAATTAGATGGAACCAGTGGGGGCTGACAGATTTTCCAGTGAGAAACGCTTTTGGGACAGTTTTAGCCATATTCAGATTTATACACTTCATTTTGGGTTAGCTGTTGCATCTTAATGTCAGCTTAATGTTGCTCTCTTTAGTGTCACTTGAACATTGATTTCCAGGCCAATAGTAGCTTATTATTATTATTATTATTTGTTTTTATATCAATCATCAATCCAGAACTGTAAAGATATCAAACATAAACAGATAAATAACACAATAATTGCTGTTACAAATGGCATGAAAATGATCTTACATCCACATTCCCACAGGTCCATGCATGGACATTTACAATAATCATTAACCACCAAAAAATATTTACAGGAAAAATACATAACTATAGTATCACGGGCTGCTGCAGCTCCTGGGCTCTCAGACTGACCCAGTCCAATAAGTTCTGGGCTTTAATTACCCAATTCTGGAGATGTAGTCAGTGTGGCATGAGACAGAACCTTCCAAAGAACAACCAAATGTGTCATTTCACAGCATCCAAAGAAAACCATTTAATACTCTAACAATAACCTTTGACTCACAAAAGGCGCCTTTTTGTTCAGCGTACGCTGCTGTCTGCTCCTTACGGAGGGGAATCTGTGTTTCGCTTCAGCCTGGATTTCGGATCGATCCTCTGCGGAGTGAGAGAGCACAAAGGCCCCCTCCGGGTGACTGGAGTCGCTCTGCTGATAATTATAGCCGCCCTGACAGGTTAATTGCATGGTGATGCTCTTTGCTTGAGTGTTGTGGTGGGTGGGCAGGCCTGCGGAGGAGAAGCCTCTGGCCTAACATCAAGCTGGGCACGAACCTCTCCTCTTCCTGCAGCAGCAGAAGTGATGCTCCTCAGATCTTCTAGAACCCAGCTTTATTTATACATCTCACATATTATTCTCAGCCATTTAATTCTCACCTTGGTCTAATAAGACACTGAGCTACCCAGTCCATCACTGAAACAGAGGCTCTGCTTCTCTGAGATCTTCTTAGTGGAAGGACTGCAATTAGGAGAATCAAGGCCTCAGATTACAAGCTGATTCACATTCAAGATGTAGGACAGTGACCTCTGCTGGTGACCTTTGACCAAGGCGTTCTTCATATGCTGCCAAAGGGAGATAACCGGAACTGTGCCGTTCGTTTGTATTTTATCCCTCCTCTGCCACAGTTCATGCTACGGTTTGAGGTCTGAAAAGTGCATAACTGGTTTTTCTAGAACAAACATACGTCTGCTTGTCTAGACCAATCATACATCTAGTTCCAGCTCCAAAAACTTAAGGCATCACAGGGCCCTTCTGTGGTTACATGACGGGAAAAGTGGAAAATCAGGACCATGACAGCATAGGCAATGCTCGGCCATAATGTAGTTTGATCCAAGCGTTTCCAAAGTTTTCCAGAAGACACAGAAAGGGCTCGTCTGCATGATTTCCATCATAACCATCACAGGCAAAGGGGCTTGAGGTTGGCCCTGGGAACCAGTTGACTTTTGGAGTAGCACCGTGAGGCACAGCTTGGATGGGGAGATGGTATTCAATCGGCTCGTCTGCAGCTGGAGTCCAGTCAGATTGGCATCCAGGCCCACTGCCGAGATCATGCTCACCTTTGAGAGAGCTGGACGGCAGATAGTTCAGAAGAGGATCCAATCAGAAGGCGAGCGGGAACTGCCAAACCATGAGCATACACTCAGCCGCCTCACTGGCGCCCTCTGGAGGCTCCTCCCCCAGGCGTCGGTAGCCCCGCCCACCAGAGAAAACTGCTATGGAGAGCACCCTGTCCTTTGGGGTCTCGTCCCTGCTGGGCAGGCGGCTACGTGCCCAGACCCCGCGGTCCTCACTCAGCCCATAGATGGTGCCGTCCTCTGGCTCATGTTCCGGGGACTGGGCCTGGGATGGGTCTCGACCAATGGCATCCGAGGGCCTGCCAGTCAGTGGCTTCCCTGGCAGGCCTGAGGTGGAGCGCAGGCGGTACCGCAGCATGACCTCGGCGGGCTCGGCCCGGTCATCCACCCGGCCGTCTCGGAAGGAGTCCCGGCTCAGCAGCTCCGAGGGGAGGGAGCTGGAGGCGGCCACCAGGAAGTTCACCGGACCGCAGTGGGCGTTGAGAGACGTCATACCCTTCCCTGAAACAGCCAGAGCCTTGTCACATGACAAACCGAGACTACATTAGGTCTGACAGCCCAGTCGCGGGTAAATATGGGTTAGAAAGTACAGCATCAAGGCTTCTGATTCTCACGCACCACCCCGCTGGAAATTACTATTATTATTGTTATTTTTCTCATATTTTAGTCCCTATTTTCACACAAGTGTAGGTCACCGATGAGGCCCCCACCCCCAGAAGTGTGCTCACCTCTTATGATGGGGATGCCCTCCAGTCTGGGCACGGGCAGCGTGATGATGATGCCCAGAGAGGTGCCCACCCACAGCAGCCCCTGACACACCATCAGGCTCGTGACCCGATCGCCCGTCTGCCCTGCGGAGGAAAAGGTGAAGGGGAAACGAGGCGCTTGGTGGGTTTGGATGCAGACACAGAGACACCCGCTATTGCAAACACAGCCTTGCAGATCATCACCCAGTTAACCCAAAGTCACACTTAGCCTCACCCACTTTCAGGCTCCTCCCCCCACATCCCCACCTCCCAACCACCAATTCTTTTCATCCATCATCTGCTGTTGCCAACTCATGTGGAATTCCACGTCACATTCCCAGCCCTCTCTGCCAATATGGTTTGTTTGTGGAGATTAAAACCCCATGCATGACGCACGCACTCCCAGCATTCTCGATCAGCACCATTTAGCAGAACACTAACTGCCACTTATCGTCCCGTGTCCTCCATTCCGCCGCCAGTGAACATAGGGGACTGTTTGATTATTGACCACGGGCGGCTCATCAGAGGCGCTTTGCTGACCATTATTTTTATCCACCTGTTCTGTCCTGCAGCCTCCACTGTCACAGAGCTGCATCACAGCCGCAAGCCTCGTTAGCATCCGCTTCCGAGTCTGCAGTGGGCTCTTCCGTGTCGTGCTCTGTGAATGTGGGTCTGATCGATTAACGTGTTGACGGTCAGGAGGCGCCTGATCAGGGTGCTAACCACATACGGAAGCCCTCGTTAAATACAGACTCATTGCTGGAGACAGGAAGCCATCAGGAAGTCAAAACTGGGATATGCAATATACTGTACATGTGATATACTATATATCTACATGATACTGTGCTAGGTTACCTAGGACCTAACCAGATGTCTTAGAACCATAAATAGCATTTGCTGCTATATTGCTGCTGCCACAGTAGGCTAGGGAAGTTAAAGGTTCTAAGGTAATACGTGAATCTATTCTGGGTCGACCCACCCTATAAGCAACATAGGCAATCGCCTATGGCTGCATTCTGTTACATAACAGTTATCAATGCGACTTTTAATATTTCACTACTTTTATTGTGAAAGAGATGCGAGCTATTGTAGGTAGTTATCAAGCATTTCATAGATTAGCCATTTGATGTTCATTTATCTAATATAGAAGAATTGACCAAATTTATTTTCTGCTGCCATATGGAGTTTGAGGGGTCTTAGCAGAGCCTAGCGCGCAACACTCAGGGCCGGCCCTGATCTATGCAGAACCCCCCCCCCACCCCACACACACACACACACATGGCAGGTAAAATCCTGGCTAAATCACAAAGAGGACAGTGTCACCCAATGCAATTTTCCTGATGCCTTCGCTTCCTAAATGTCAAGGGTTTGGCTATTAAGCTACACTGACCCCGAAGAGTCTGATCCTCTACATTCGTACTTTGGAACCTTCAGTAAAGGGACATGCTTGTCATCTGCTTGGAGGGGGGGTGCATTACGGTTGGGATTAAAAGCTGATCTTTAATTTCTTTCTTATTGTGGGTTTGGGAATAATGTCCGGGATCAGTCAGCAATCGGTGTTTAATAATGCCATTGGCATTCATGCAGGGTGCCTTTAAGGATTACGGCCAGTGGGTTTGAAATCAGCAAATTAGCCACGATTTTCCTGGTCTGAAAAGACTTTTATTTGCTTACAGCGTTCTCGCTGCAAATGGCTTCCAGGTCCCTGTATTGGATCTTTCTCCTTTCCCCACTTGTGTGTTTTTGTGCACTTGGGCAGAATGTGTGCACCGCGCAGCGTGACTTTAGAAATGTTCTTCTGTTCGTCTGCTTTGTGATTTTTTACATTACTCTCAAGGCTGATGAATCGGAGAAGAGGAACTGACTGCCGATTTAGGTTTTTGTGGCCCATAATAATAGTTATCTGCATTTTTGATGTTGGTGCGTGTATGACGTTGAATGGAAGCGGCCGCTCTTGGTTTCTCTGTCCCCGGATGTTGCAGAACAACAGGACAGAAACTCCTGGCCTTTCTGTGCCTGTTTTCGCATGCAAGCACGTATGTCAGGCTCTCTGTCGATAGCAGATAACACGCTGGGGTGCTCTGATAAATATTTCATCTGTCAGGAGTGCAGGAAGACAGCAGGGGTTCGGGGTCTCGGGGAGATCTAATACGGGGGGGGGGGGGCGGAAAGCAGGGATCATGGGCGAAATAAGGGGAGGACAATGGGGAAGGAGGGATGTGGAGCGGCATGGAGACAGAGGGACAAAAGCATACATGGGAGGGGCAAGTGGAGGAGAGACAAAGGGTCTGTGTGCTGGGGACAGGAGAGCGTTTCCATAGCAACCCACCCCATCATGAAAGCTTAGTCTCCAACACTGCATGGCTCCTTGAAGGCATTGATGTGCTATTGGCTCCTCCCACTAACGCAGTCACATCCTGCTCTCAGGTCTTTAGCGTATCGCTCATCTGTGTCCATATCCGGGAGCTGCATCGCCTCTGGCGACCTCCAGAGGCGTCTTGTGGTGACTACAGTGCTCAGAGTCACACCTGCTGAAACTCCCCAGACGACTCCCGACCCCCCTTCTCTTGCTTCCATCTCATTCGCTCCTCCTGCTTGCCGTTTCACCCTCTAGTTGCATCTCTGGGTCACGTGGCATAAGAGGGTTTGCTGTTCTAGCTGAGCTATTCACGAAAAAGGCTTGAAGAAGCCATTTACGGAGCGAATCTCAATGATGCTAAATCAAGCGGGTTAGTTGAGGATTAATCTATCCCAGGATGAGAAATGTTTTGTCGAAATGATACATAAAGATCTTTCTGCATGTTTTTCATCCATAAAACTCACAGTTTCAGTCAATCACCAATTCCCCCTTAAACACTACAGTTTCAATGTATTCAGGTCTTTCTTTTAAGAGGCGGCATATTTTAGCTCATTAGCACAAACACACCTATAATAAATTAGAATGTAGAGATCAGTGGTCATTGCTGACACACAACAATGAAATGTGTCCTCTGCATTTAACCCATATGTGACACTGTGACATAGCAGGGGGCAGCTAATTCAGCGCCCGGGGAGCAGTGCTTGAGGGGGTGGAGGGGGTACCGTGCTTAGGGTACCTCAGTGATGCCTTGCTAGTCAGGGATTCGAACCAACAATCTTTCAATTACAAGTGCGCATCCCTAACCATTAAGCCACCACTGAAGGTACCTGTAGATTATCAGGGTGGGGCAGGTAAGCCCAAGATTGGGGCAAAGTCAGCAAAGGGGTTCATGTGTTCACACCTGGGGCTTGTAACCCGACCTGTAAGGCTCTGTTCTGATTTTTGTTTTCAGCCCCAGAACACACATCCACCCCCTGCTGCAACTTTTCTCTATACCCAGTACCCAAGGTACTTCTTCCCTCAGGCTAATGCCGAATCCCCCCCATTTTGTTTTCATCCCAGTTCCTCCATTCTGTGAAACATAATCCCAATCCTCCCATCACCATCTCAAATGACTCTGTTACATATCCGGCCCCCATAAAGTGAGGTCCCAGACCGCATTCTGTAAGCCAGGATGCTGCCTGTACATGACACCTAGTCCATCCAACCATGCATAGCTAAGGAAACCCTCAGTGAGCGAGGGGAGGAGAGAAGCTACTTTCTGCACTTTTTGCAATTAAAACCTAAAACCTACCGGGACTCAGGAAGGCAGACGGCGTGGAGATGTTGATCTCCTGCAGAAGTGCCAGAGTTTCTGTGTGGAAGAGGCGGATGGAGGAACTCTCAGAGAAGGCCATCCAGACACCACCCCCCGCCCGGACCATTTGGGTGACGCTCATCTGTGGATCCTGGTGGGCCTCGAACCTCTGAGAGAGAGACAGAGAGAGAGACAGAGAGACAGAGAGAGAGAGAGAGCTAAGTCACCATGGAAACATTGGAGCTGAGATGGGAATCAAGAAGTGAAAAGCAGGAGCGGAACGGCAGCAGGAGCGGAACGGCAGCAGGAGCGGAACGGCAGCAGGAGCGGAACGGCAGCAGGAGCGGAACGGCAGCAGGAGCGGTGGGAAATGATGTTACCCACATGGAACGGGTTGATGGGGAGGAGGACAAAATCTGTGGATTCAAATCCCCCCCCTCCTCTCAATCACTCACTCACCCAAACCCAGACTCAAGCTTACAAATAGATTACAAAAACAGCCTTGTAAATTGGATAGACCTTATGGGAGCTGATTAGAAATTCATTAAAGGGCCTTCAAGAAGCTGAGTGGTACTCCACGAAAATTTGAAACCTGAAACAAGAAAACACACACACACACACACACACACACACACACAGACATCAGCACCTAATCAAGCCAACACTCATAACAGGCTGGAAAGCAATCCATCACATCCCCAGCGTCGTGCTGCAATTAGCCACAGATCCAGCCCCACCCTCGACACCCAACCAGCAACTGCAGACGCCTCATTCACATACGGCCACTTTAGTCTGTCCTTAAGGCCAAAGCCGGGCCTAAGGGAAATGCTGATTAAATGTTGCTTGTTATTCTTTTGCCATTTAGTTTTCCTTGAGGAATGTGTTTTCTGTGTATACCATGGAAGGTTGGGAAGACCCCAGGGAAAGTGGAAAAAAAGCCCAGAGAGATCCCTCAATCAAATCCCTGAGCTGGATTTCTCTGTCCGTCCTGCTCCACGCTCAACTCCTGGATTTTTTCAGCACCAAGCATCCGGACCCCCTGGCCTCCCCTTTGGTTCAGCCGTACCAGGGTTAGTGTCAGTCCTGCCTGGACTGGGAACAGGGACCACGATGCCTCGGCGAGCAGCGCAAGACGGGCCGCCACCGGCATCTCCCTGCAGCCTGCGGCTAACAAAGCACCGAGTGTGCCCGACGGGTCAGCGAGGAAGCAATGAGGCATAGCCCGGAGGGCAGGTGGGACGCGGCCCAATGAGGCGGAAAACACTGGGGCGTAATGGTCTGTCGAGAGGGCTCTGGTGCACAGCACCAGTGCAGGCTGGGAAAAGGACAGGGAGCTTCACATTTATCTGTGTCTGTGTGTAACATCTGTCTGTGCCTTTCCATCAGTCTATCCAGACATCTGTCAGTACCTTTCTGTACAGCTGTTTATATACCTCTGTCCATATATTTATACATATGCATGTGTATATCCATCTGTATACAGATATGTCTGTGCCTTTTAATCTATCTAGAGATCTGTCTGCCTGTATATCCAACTATTTATAGATCTGTCTATTCCTTTCTATCCATTTATTTATAGATCTGTCTGTGCCTTTCCATCAATCTATCTAGATCTGTCAGTGCATTTCTATGTGTCTATTTATAGATCTGCCTGTGTCTTTCTATCAATCTATCTAAAGATCTGTCAGTGCCTTTCTATACAACTATTTATAGATCTGTCTGTGCCTGTATATCCATCTATTTATAGATCTGTATATTCCTTTCTATCCATTTATTTATAGATCTGTCTGTGCCTTTCCATCAATCTATCTAGAGATCTGTCAGTGTCTTTCTATGTATCTATTTATAGATCTGCCTGCGTCTTTCTATCCATCTGTTTATAGATTGTCTGTGTCTTGATCCATCTATTTATAGAACTTTCGATGCCATCCATCCATCCATCCATATTCTAAACCCACTTGCAGGGTCACTGGGGTTTGGGGTGTTGCCCTGTCATATTGTCTGCTTGTTTGGTCTTACAATAAATCAATCACTGTATCAATTAATGCACCTGTCTCTGTATTAGTCCAGTGTACTCTGTCTCCGCCTGTCCACCCATCTACTGTCTGTCTGTCCCTGTCTGCCTGCATGTGGGGACAGACTGATTTACACAAAGGCCTTGTGTAATGGGCCCTTCCACCGTAATGTCCCAGCCTGTTGGAGCTCCACACTCATTTTGTCATGGGGATCAGCTTGTGTGTACATGTGGGATCAGTGGAGGAGAGCTGTAAGCTGCCCTCGAGCAGAGTCTGACTCACCCATGGGAGCCGCACGCTACCGCCCTCTACTGTTAGGGAGGAGCAAATAAAGAAAAGCGCTGCAGGGTGACAGGCAGTTGGTGGAGGTGGAGGAGGGGGGTAAGTTCCACCCTTTGACTGAGCATGCTTAGAGCACTGACGCTCTCAGAAATGTTTTTACCTTTTGACTCTTCTGCAGCGGGCGAGTGCCCTGCCCAAAAGAATAACAGGGAATTTGAATCCTCTCAAATAAATGCAGCTTTTCAAACTGTTTGTTTGATTCTTTATTAACTTTATGGGTTTTGTTCTCACAGTCGCGCAGAAGAGCGTCACCCATCTAAAGTCACAGGCCCAGCTTGGCACCAGACCAGTCTGACGGCAGATACTGGGATACGACACAGCACGTTGACACTAGTCTGCCGCTTCCACAGGATGTGACGCATTGAATAAGAGTGGTGATGCAGCACAGATCGTTAACAAGTCAGACTTCATTAATTACCATTCTGGGGCTGTCATGCAGATGCACATACTATGAAAAGTCCTGGGGCATGTGGGTAATTAACAGAGCCTTTGCAGACACCTCCAGTGTAGCCTGGACGTCTTTGCCTCGCTCTTCTTTTGCATTTATCCATTCTGAAGACTCAGAGGACCTTATCGACGTATGGATTGAGTTCGTTTTCTTAAACCAGCCTCCCCCACAATACCAAAATCACATGCTCCCGTTGCCTGGTGATGCTGTCTTTGGACTGGGGTGCTGTAAATCACTTTCCGGACCAGTAAGACCAGTGAAGCAAATGCGCCCCCCTCCCACTGCTCTACCTGCTTAAATTCCTCATTGGAGTGACCCCTCCCTGCGAGGGCACAGAAGGCCCTCTATGGACAGGATATCCGCGTCCCAGGAGCTACAATTACAGCCGAAAAAACTGACTGTGGAGCCGAAGTCTGGCAGAAGCCAAGGTGGGGCCTTGGGCTCACTCTCCAGTGTAAGAGTGCATTATTATTACTATTATTATTATTATTATTATTATTACTACTATTGTTATTATTATTACTACTATTATTAGTATCACTATTATTATTATTAATATTGTCATTGTTATTATTACTATCATTATTATTACTATTATTGTTATTATTATTATTACTATTATTATCATTATTATTATTACTATTCTTATTATTACTATTCTTATTATTACTATCATTATTACTATTATTATTAATATTATTATTATTACTATTCTTATTATTACTACTATTATTACTATTACTATTATTATTATTAGTTGTTTTGCTTCTTAGTTTAGCACTCAGTGGGGGGGGGCAGATATTCAGGGCTGAGGAGAGATGGAGCGAGTACTCTGGATGGGGGGGCAGATATTCAGGGCTGAGGAGAGATGGGGCGGGCACTCTGGGTAGGGGGGGC